TTTTTGGGGAGCTAAGTTATTTTATCTCCCTTTGTATTCCTTTCCCTCTATTCTCTTAATTTAATGAAATTGATGTTATTGATCAAAAAAAAAAAAATGTGATTCCCCTTCCTGGTGGAATAGCCATTCCCTCCATTTGGCTCATGGGAATAGGGGTCTGGAATCGGAATCGGAATGGTTGGGTGGAACCAGCGAGCAGCTCCTCTTCAACTGTTTTGATCTTCTTCTTACTTCCTTTGTCCCCTCTCGAAATCTCCCTGACCCGACTCTCAGTTTTCCTTTTTAATCTTCAACAATTTTTTCCTTTTAATCTTCAACCCCTTGATGCTTTCTCTTGTCAGCCTTCTCCCATAGGAGGAAAGGATATGTAAAGTCAGCAACTCTATAGGCAAATGGGAGGAAAGGAATGACAAAGTATTTCTCAGCAACACCGGACTGCCTGAAGTAATAATAGATATCATTACCATAAAAGTTGGTTCTTATATTTAAACTATTTAATAAGATAATGAAAACAAAGAAAATGCTAAAGATGATTTATAAAGTTGTAATAATTATCATGGGATCAAAATCATGAGCCATACTATGAAAATTTGGGAGAGAGTAACTGGGCAGAGGTTACATAAAAGACGTGTATCAGAAAACCAATTTGGTTTTATGCTAGAGAGGTCAAGCATAGAAGCAATATTTTTATTGAGATGATTGATGGAAAGGTTTAGAGAGAAGAGGAGAGATCTTCACATTGCTATTTATTGATCCAAAGAAAGTATATGGTCAAGTCCCCAGAGAGATATATAGTGGGTTTTGGGAAAAAAAGTGCTGAATATTATATGGACTTGATTAAGGACGTGTATAAAGGGCAACAATGTTGGAACACCTGTGGAGAGACATCATGAGTTTTGTCTTATTAATGGGACTTCCCCAAGGCTCAACACTTAGCCTGTATTTATTTGCATTAATCATTAATGAATTGACTATACATATTCAGGAGGAGGCCACATGTTGCATGTTGTTTGCTGATGATGTAGCATTAATTGATGAAACTAAAGAAGGATTAAATGCAAAATTAGATTCATGGACAAATATGTTTGAAAAGAAGTAGGACTAAAATAGAATGTAAATTAAAATAGTAGGAGTGGAAGTTGTGGTATACTTAGGATTGGAGAGGGGAGAGTGGGAGACTAGGAAATATCCCAACGTGACCTTTTCAGTTACCTTGGTTTGGTAATCCACAACAAGGGAGAGATTAAGGATATCAACCATATGACTAGAGCAAGATGAACAAAATGGAGGGGGTGCATCTGAAGTCTAATGTTATAGAGGAATACCACTTAGGCTGAAAGGAAAATTTAATAAATCAGTTAAAAAGCCAACAATGTTGTGTGGGGTAGAGTGTTGGGCAGCCAAGAAACATGTCAAAAATAAAAGAAAAAAAGAATGTGGCAGAAATGCAAATGTTGAAATTGATGATTAGGGAAAGTAGAAGGGATAAAACTAGAAGTGAGTTTATTTGAAGGAACCTAGGAGTATCTCCCATAGGTGATAAAATGAGGAAAAGTAGACTAAGATGGTTTGGGCACATACAGACTCCAGAGAATACGATATGTATAGATACTTCGAACCATGGTTGGATCTAATCTGGTTCTTAGGACTTTGTAGAGAACTAGAAAACAAGAGAGATAGATAGCAGATGAATCAGGAAAGGAATAGAATAAGAAGGGTATCGACAGAGTAGAAAGAGAATGAGAGAAGGGTATCGACAGAGAAAAACATACGTCTCCAGTTGGCCAGGTTGTTATATATAGATATTTCTATAACTGAAAATAAAATTATAAGGATGCCCTTTGATGCTGTCTGAGCTGAGGTGGATGAGTGGAAAATAATCAAGTTGGTGAGTTAGACAAGCTGAGCTGGATTCGGCGATTTGCGAGCGCAAGTAGTCAGAGGCCCTGAGATGGATCCCCAAGGAGGAACACTCTGATGGTCAAGTCAGGGCTAGGCCAAGCTGTTCTGGATGAGCTGAGCTAGCCATATGAATTGAAGAGAGCAAGAATGCTAGGATGCTCGAGAGTTAAGATTGCCAGAGGGTGAAGAAGCTCTTACCTTAGGGGGTGTGCCCTTATATAGGTGTCCAAAGAACTAGTGTGCTCCTTGTTCATGGAACACATGTCAGCGTCTTGGGTCGTCCACCATCCGAGCCATTCCTTGATGTGGGCTGCATGCCCTATTATATGAGGGACGAGGATGTTCAGAGCCATTGCTCTGACTCTGGCAATTAGTCTAGAGCTCGCTGGTGTTTGCCACGTGTCCCCCCATGCCCAAGACACGTGACATTCCCCAACACTGACTTGCTGGTTACACTTGAGAGTTTGAAGGGTGCCACATTGCAGCTCCTCGGCTCAGATGGGTTTATGTTGCTTTGCTGCACCGTCAATTCTGAGATCGGTCTATGAGGCGATCCTTGTTAGATCCGACTCACAGCTACATCACCCTTGTTTAAGTACATGTTGTATATCCCAATCTACCTCATTTAAGTACTAAGCTAAAGACTTATATACCCTGGTTTAAGGAAGAATGGAATAACACAAAACAGCTACATCACCCTCATTTAAGTACTAAGCTAAAGACTTATATACCTCATTTAAGACTGACAGCTACATCACCCTGGTTTAAGGAAGAATGGAATAACACAAAACAGCATAATAACTAATCTCTTAACATGTATATTTGGGACTTTGGCATGTGTATGAGGTTTTGGGGTCTTGAGATGCCCATTTCATCTTTTTCTTGTCTTTTCATTATAGGTCATGGAGATCTTGACTCATGTAAACAAGCGGGTGAAAAACCAGCCAGAGATTGGGTTGCCCTTCTCAGAGTTATGGAAGATATACAGAGAAGCCGATGCAGCTCCAATGGTCAAGAACTTTTCTATTGTATACATTGAAATGGCATTTGAACGCTTATGTGTAGAGGTCTGTTTGCCTTTTCTTCCCCATTTTCCTTTTTTTTGTAAACTTTTTTGAGTCAGTAATTGAGATTTTTTTTTTTTACTTTGATTTGGAATGTTGTTTGCCATTAGAACATCTCTGGAATTAGTGTTAATTCTCCATTCTTCTTTCACAGGATAAAGCAAATATTGCACCTGATCTCATAGGTAATGTTTCAAAGTTTCCTCCACAACACCAAGATATAATTTTGAGGATCGTTGCAAAGGTATTTTACATGTTAACTACTTTACATGGACATTCTTTTTTGATTGGCAACAAAAAGCATGTATTGATATTGACTATGAAAATGAGTAAAGCCCTGTGGGCATCAAAGAGCTTCAAGGGCAGCTTGGCAAGTGATGGCCTCAGTGCATGACATAGCATTTGTTGCTCTCTCCAGCTAGGCTGTCAACTATCAAACTGGTAGATGTTGGATGGGTTTTGCTTGGCACTTAGAGACCATACCTCTCTGATCTGATATCTGAATCTCTGACTCCCTTGTCTGGTCAATATGATTTTGGAGTCTTCCTTAATGACAAAACACTCAAAGCCCATAGAGAGTGATAGTGAGAGAAGCTCTGTTCTCATAAACTCCCATGACCCAACATGTTAAAGTAGTTATCTTCCCCCCTTTAGAGTTATTTGGGGCTTCTCTGCTTCTGTGTTAGTTTTTAACCTTGGCTACTTTCTGATTGATGTGGCAAATGAGGGCCATGCTATGTATTCCATCCATCCATATTGTGCTCATCAAGTCAGTTTATCCTTGTAGGCCTATCTTCTAGGTGTTCCTGCTACAACCATGAGTGTATTGAGGGAGCTGGGAAAATTGGTGGCTGGAGAAATGTTTTTTGTTATCTTGTCCTCATATATGGGAACCCATGAGTGTACTAAGGGCGCTTAGGGCAGCATTGATTGGCAGCAAAATAAGGGAAAATAGGCAGCATTGATTCATGTATTTTCTTTTGAGAAAAAGTAAAGTATATTCTATTATATTGTCCTCATATAATGGATTACTGTTATGGTCTATCTTCTTCCTTCCCAAAAGGGTTTGTGACTGATTCGAAAGAAAGAACAAAATCTGATTTGGTTTTAGCATGGCAGCCAAGATTAGTATCTTACTCTACTAGCCCTGACAAACCCAATCCAATGTCTAATTGCAGGAAGAAAGGAGAAGGCTAAGATTCAGGTTGGGTAAGTGTGGATGAAGGATTGGGAAGGAAGAAGACCTAGGATTGAAACTACTGTTTGATGAAGAGTTTTGCACATCTCCAGGAATGTCGATTTGAGCTTGCAAGGACTTGGAAAGAATGGCAGCTGATTCAGGTGAGGAGAATATTGAAACAGGGATAGGAGAGAAACAGTACCTTGTAAAGACTAGGGAATGGGTGTCCATAGGTCGTGTGATGGCAATCCGGTTCCTCTGAGCAGGGCTACGAATTGCCCTCTTTCCTTGGTATTCATTCAAGGTTTCAGTTTCTAGGTTCCTATTCCTAGCGAAAGCCCAACTATGGGGGTTCAGGCTATTTCAACAACTCCTATTGTGTCTTCCTCCTCCCAAGGTATGGATTGTCTTCAAGTCATACAAATTCCAAAGGGATTTTAGCATAGTCTCCATCAAATCAATCTCCTAGCGAAAGCCCAACCATAGTCTCCATCAAATCAATCTCCTGCCAAAGGGATTTTAGCATGGAGAAGTAAACGGCTAAGTGCTTCCCCCTGTCTTAGATTGTTAACATCATTCTTCAATTTGTAAGCCCAGTCAACATTCAATTTTTGGGAATAGGTCAACGTGACACTATCCCACCCCTCCTTTGTAGTTTCCGTCTACAAGTAGTGCTGGAAAATATGTGGTCGCATAGAATTCACTAATCAACCCACTACTGTGTAATTCTCCTGCATCCACCTCTCATAGGTAGGGTCATCCTCCCTTGGTTTTCTTCTTGCTCCTGGTGATGTAACCCCATTTCCCTTTACTACACACATGTATCTTAATAGACTGAGACCAAGCTAAATAATGGGTCATATCCAACTTCATTGCAAGGTTTAAAATGTTGGTGTTGGTGGAAATGTCGGTCGTCTAAATATAAGAAGCATGTCGGAAATATTGTAAAAATTATAGGCATAGTGGAAACATTGTAAGTATGCAAAATATAGAATGATGTTTTATGAAATGGTGAAAGAAGCATAGTCACACCCTTTTAAATTATTATCTTATTCCAAATCACTAGCCAAAGCTAAGAAACTAAGGTTATAGACAAAAGAGTACGTTAAGAAGTTGCCTTGTAAACCTTAAGATTCAAAGCTTCATGATAGAATGAGTTAAAACAAAATTTAAACTCACAGAAAATGTATATGGTTGTAATAAATCAACCAAATAAGTTAATAACATTGTTACTTCACACGTCTACAATATTATCACCAACTTATGTTATAATACTCTCTTTTACTCCATATAGTGATGGTAGCGTTCACTAGGGAATGTGTATGTCATGGAAACTATCTCTTCTACTCCACATAGTGCTAGTAGTATTCATTAGGGAATATGTCGATTCTAGTTAAATTTCGTGTTGCTACCCATGGAAATGGGAATATGTAGTGGAAATAGTAGGGAAATTAGGGACATTTTAAACCATGCTTCATAGTGGTTATTGCTCCCAAAAGATTCTCCATTGACCCTTCATGTCCAAACCTGGAATCAGTGGGATATTTGGTTTCTCCTCCAGTTTGCTCCATTGAGTGAAATGAGGATCAAAATAAGTCTCAACTAAGCTAGAATTGCTATCCCAAGCAAAAAACTACTCTTCAAACAACCAAATCTAAAGTTTCACAGGACCCGCCCGAATGGGAGAAGAGGAGAAAGTTCAACCGCTCCTACCAGAGGTTCCAGAACCCTGTCCAACTCAAATCGCCCTTAATGAAAATCAAAAGGCTACCCTTTGATTCCCAAGAGCTAGCTTCAAAGTGTCTCTAGGACCTGTAACTAGCTTTCCCCAGTTGTTTAGGATTTTTGGGGAAAAAACTCCAAGAACCTGCCTTGGGCTTCAACTGCGGATGAAAAACTTCACAAAAAGCTCTCAAACAACCCTCCCAGTTGGGCTACACATAAGCTGCTCCTTAATCAGCTGATCAATTCTCCATACACACTGTATATGGGCAAACAGAGAAGAAAGAAAAGAATGTGAGAGCCTGCTCTAATACCAAGTTGTAAATCACATCTGCAATAATCTGAATTAAAAGAAAAAGAAACAGGAGAAAAGGAGATTGAAGAGAGAGAAGTGATGGAGGAAGAAGATGGAAGAAAAGGAAGAAGAAGAGAGAGTAGTTCTAAACCTCTTTTCAGTCCCCAATGATCTCTTTTATTCTTTTGTTGTAAAAATAAGGACAATTACATGAGCGCCCTTAGTAGGGTGTCCATCACTAAGGACAACAATAAAAAAAGATAAAACAGGCCCAAAACTAAGGTCCACTACCTACTAACACAAGTCATAAACATAACTTAAAGAAAAACAAAGAAACTAAGGTCCATTCGGCCCATTATCTCTACAACAACAATGAGAAAAAGATATTCAAATGGCTGACAAAAGATATGGAAGTGCAATTCAGCTGGGTTAAAAGGACTGCAAATGCCTTTGCTGATGTTTTAGCTAAGCAAGGGGTGGGAAGGAATCATTTGTTTTGGGATCTTTTGTAATTGCATAGTTGTTGTGGAGAGGTAAGACAGTTTACCTCTCCCAATCCTGTAATTATTTTTTATTAATCTAATGAAATTCAGTTATTCATAAAATAAAAGAAGATGGGTGGGGCATGGGTGTTAACTAATGCCTATGGTCCTACCATTATCCAATCTATTGACAATGTCTTTAAGGAATAAGCATGGATCTTCTGGATTCCCTTCCTAACAGATCTATTAGTGGTACAGGTGGCTTGGTTTGCATTCCACCCACTATTGGAGTAGCAAGGTTCATGCGGCCAATCCCTTTTACTTGGGGTTAATCTGATAATTATGTAAATGATTCATGTATAGCCATCTTTAAATGCAAGAAGATGTAGTCAACTACATCTTCATAACAATTGGAAAATATGTATTTTTCATGTTGCAATCATGACAAAGGACAGGCCAATGGTTATTTATTATTTATTATTTTTCATGGTTCTCAATATTATGTTGTTGGTGTTCTTGTATTTTCTTTTTGTTCACCCGAACTGTGGTTGTTTTTACAAATGTTCTATTTTGGTTGTCCTTTATCTGTTTTAGGTGATTGGTGAATGTCATGCCAATGGAATTGATGATCAAGTTGCTGCCAAGTATAGATTAATGAACAACAGTCAAGATGGCCAGTTGTTTTTGGAATTTTGTCTTCAAACAATTTTGTTTCAACCACCACCTCAAGGGTCTGTTTCCAGAATCCAGATTTGCAACTGTAAATTCAGATGATTTTTTGTCACAATTTGCTAATATAGGTCATGCTTTCTTTGCAGCACCGGGAGTCCAGCAGGGTTATCAATTGCTCAGTCAGACCGTATTACTGGGAAGCAGCAGTTAAGAGGCGAAACTCTATTAATGAGAAAGGTGAAATCAGTACTAGAGTAATAGAGGGCTGCTCTTTCAATCTCTGGAACACATTTTTATATCCAAAATTTATTGTTAGCAGGCCTTTATTTTCTGCAATTTCTTGTCTACAGTTAGGGATTTTGAATGTGATTCAGGCTATGGAGCTGGCTCCAGAAGTTGTGTATCCTCTCTACGTGGTTGCTTGTTCAGACAGGTAAGTGTTTTACTTCATAAGCCTATTTTATTATACTTTAAATGTTCCAAGTTCCTTTTTATATCATTATCTTTATATACTAATGTTTTCTTTTGTTGCTGCTTTGTTCAAGTCAAGAGGCAATAGTTAAGAGAGGTGAGGAGCTTGTGAGGAAGAAGGCATCTGGTGCAAATTTAGATGATCCAGAGCTTATAAGCAGGCTTTTTTTGCTATTTAATGGTATCTGTTTCCATCTTCTAGTTTAAACTATCTCTGTTATTTTCTTGAAGAATGATTCATGAATATTTTGACTTGGTTAGTTAAAGTTTTAATGGGAATACAAAGGAATGCCATAGTTTGTAGTTTTCTTTTGTTAATGCACATCGTGGATCTATTAACAGATTATTTTCTGGGCACATCCCAATATTTGCATAATACATAGTTAATTTAAACTTTATGCAGGTACTATTGGAGTTGAAAATATTGCTCCGGATTCTAGGGTCAATCCTGCAAACTCTGCCTTGAGAACACGGTTGATGTCTATATTTTGCAGGTCTATTAAGGCTGCTAATAGTTTCCCATCCACCTTGCAGTGTATCTTTGGCTGTATTTATGGTAAGCAATGCTTTCTTTTGTATTTTTTCAGTGGTTTGATTTCTAATTAAAGCCTAACCTACCAGTGAAATATCTCTTTGGGTTATGTTCCAATAAATTCTTAAATAACAAAGGGAAATTTGATCATAAAAGTTCCAATGAAGCTATTCTTAGTTGATTCTTAATCCCTGTCTTGATCAAAAGAACAAAAGGAAAAAATCCCTTTCCTTTTTTTCACATCCGATTTGATCTTATGGGCCTTTTCTTTTTGGCCTTTGGTTGATAAAAAAGAGGATTTTCTTTATGATCATAAGGAGAGAATGAGGAACATGACAAGGCCAAATTCCAAAGTAAGAGGGACATTGACCCAACTTAGAGATAGAAAAAAAAGGAGCTAAATTAGCAACTATTTTGAGATAGAAAGTGCGAGAATTTAAGTCCATTTTCCTCACTACGAACTTGGCTAGACAATCCACTATGGGAATGCTGGATTTAGGATTCATCTGAATCAGATGTTTGATCCACAGCCTAGATCTGTTCTCCCCCTTCTTTTGGGATCAGCAATATTATCCAGCAATATTATCCACAGCCTAGATCTGTTCTCCCCCTTTCCCCTCTGCCACTAAATTCTAAATCTCCCTCAATGTCTGAGATTAGCCTTTCCACTTCAGATCTTTTTTTCTTCTTTATTCCTTTTCCTCCCCCCTTCTTGTTACAATAAGCATCCTCTTCCTTCTCTCCATCCTTTCCAGCCACTGTCTGAAATAGAATTTTACCATGCTCACACTCATTTTGGTTACAACAGCTCTCTATTACTCCTTCCTTCTTTTCTAGTTCCTCCAGCACTGTACAAATCAAATTCCAGATTCTGTCTGCCTCCCCCTTACTACTTCCTTCCACCATCCTCCTCTCCTTCCACTATCACCCTCTCTCTTACATCAAAACCTCCTGGATGGGAAGCTGGAATATCTGTTACAGGCATAGCACTCAAATCAGTACCCAAAAAGGAAATGACACCCATACCTGGTAGGACGAGGGTAGGATTAGGATCACTGGATTTGAGTTGCTGACAGGCTTCATTTGGTTTAAAGGCCTTTCCCCTTTCTGGACAATGTTGTGAAGTAGACACAGTGCACTTCCTGACAACCTACCCACTTGGAATTCCTTTCTCTGTGTTACTGACACTGGATTACCCACATCCACCATCATGGCAGATTTTTGTCCCTCTCCACCAACATCCTGCAGTTCATTAGACTCAGGGTCAGCTCCCTCGGCGGAGGGGAGGGGAGCTTGTGCAGCTTTAGGACCAATTTCTTCACCATTTCTAGTCTTCCCGCAACCTACATCTTCGATCTCTTCCTCTATAAACAGCAGCTCTGTATGCAGACTTTCTTTTTCAAGTAGCTCGTTGTTGCTTTTCAGAGTCACACTTCCCAAACTTACAGTTTCATCACTACCAGAATCGTCACTGCTGTCTTGTTCACTCGACCAGTCTCGAACTCTGTTCTATTAGTATCGCTATGTTTCAGATATCTTGGGTTGCGCCTATCAGGTGAGAGACGGTTCGCCGTGTTGGAGGGGACCCACTGTAAAGAGCCTCGAGACTGAGAAGCTTGAGACCTTGTGCCTAAAGCATTCAACCGAAAGGAGGGATTCGAAGTAGAAGAAGATAGACGCTTATTATCGTCCATCAACTCATCCCTCCTCCCAGTCACATGAGTACTTAAAGAGTCCCTTGGCCCATCTTTCCTTGATTGGGCCTTGGGCTCGAACCTTTTAAATGGAGCACTCGATTTTACTTGGGCTGTCTTCTCTGGCCCACCAGGAATCGGATCCACTTGAATGGGCCCACTTCCTACTTCTTTTCCTCCCACATGACCTTTTAAAAGGTCACACCCCCCTGTTTTAAAAGTCGAACCAGCAACCTTCCCTTTTGAACCAGTCTGAGGTTGCTGGTTCAACCCTCCCCCTACACCCACTTGGAAATTTTTGTCTTTTTCCCCTGAAGCCATGTGCATAAGATCTGCCAGTTGTCAGAAAATTTCCTTGCTCTCTACGGGTTTGACCTTTCATCTACCCCTAAACTTTTTGGCTTCCCAGAATTTGTTGGCCCTTTTTAGTGAAACATTCCTTCCCATTTGAACCAGCCAATCTCATAAATCCACGTAAAGCTTCTTCTTCCTCCTTTTCACCTCCTTCCATGCGAGCCTCCTTCCACAGCCCTGCTTCAATGGAGGATGCTAGTCACACAGAGACAAAACTCCCCTCTGTTTGTACCTCTACCTTTCGTGGAATATCTTCTGGCTTCACACCACTTAGCAGAATTGCTGCTAAATAAAGACCATCCCAGAATGCTCCTTCTAAGTGTCCTCCACACAATACTGCTATAGATTCTGCTACTTCTTGTTTCCATAGATGAAATGGCAGGCCTGTTACACGCACCACCACACCATCTTTGACAAAGAAGTCCTTGGAGTTAGATGTTGGACTCCATTTGAAGACTGTGAATGATCCGAACTCATCCTGAATATTGAGAGCTGAAAGTTCCACTTCATTCTCTACTGGATCTAAGAGGACTTTACAGTTATCGAAGGGGGTTACTATGAAGACTCTTTTCAACTTCAACCTAGTTGTCAGTAAATCAGCTACCCTCCTCCAATCACTGACCTGTTCCTTGGCTTGTATCACAAACTTACTGTCCTGATCTTTTCTCTCTAGACCACCCACCATTCTGCATTGGCCTTTTGTTTTGCCATGACCACTGGCTCTTGCTCTACCCTGCTGTTGCTCTGGCATTCCTTCTCCACCCTTGTGAAAGCTTCTTTTTCATTTGATGCTCTTTGAGCAACCTGTCAACTTCCCCCATCTTTGGCTCTGTTCTCCTGCTGGCAGACACACCAGTTGCCTTCGTCCCTTGCCAAAATATTCAGCCAAAGCTATGAAGGAGCCTTTTCTATTCCTTTTACATTCAACTACATATCTGCTTGCCTTTTGAGCAGGCTCCAGCTATGAAAACTCTTAGCCACTCAACCACTTCTAATCCTTCCAGCAGTATTGTACCCTTTTTTACTTCCCTTACCTTCAGACTTACCTTCCCCTTGATTCTCATTTCTTCGATCAAAAAGTTTTTTGCTTCTACCTTCATGGATCTTCTCCACTGACCTGCTTGCACGAACCCCATTTCTCAAACAATTTGCCTTCTTGATTTATATTACATCTTTACATGAAAAACATACTAATTACTTAGTGATACAAGAAGTAATTGGTCCTATAGTCTCTTTAGATCCCATCCAAGGCTACGGTTTGCCCATGAATCTGCTAGAAGAAGGAGAGATGAGTAGGGGATTAGGAGATGAAGTTGGTGCGAGAGAGATAATGAGAGTGAAAGGAGGGGTGGGTGTGTCTGAGGCTAGGGGTGAAAGGAGTCTGAAGTTTAAGGAAGAAGCAAGGACTAATAGGGGGATGGGTATAGATGGGGAAAAAGAAACCACCAAAAGGATTCAATCCCAAGAAGGTGAGAGTGATGAGGAGGCTGGGAGGGTCTTAGTTAAGGGGAAGAAAGAAAAGGAGGCGGGAGACAGTAAGAGAAGCCAAGAAGACCAGAGTGAAAAGGACCCGATGGTGGATTGGGCTGATAAAATGGGGTTGAAAGTGGAAAAAATCAAAGAAAAGGAATCTCAAAAGAAAGTAAAGAAAAGGGGGGCAAGAGGAGAAGGAAGCTAAATGAAGTTGAGAAACTCATTAGTGATGTGGAAGGGGATAAGGAGTTCAGCATTAGGGGAGGGAGAAGGAGAGGGGGTCTATAGGCTAGATGAGGGTTGGGGTCAGTATTTGGTGTGATCATGAAGATTATTAGTTGGAATGTAAGGGGATTAGGTAGTGCCACAAAAAGAGTAGTCAAAGAGGTATTGAGGGACAAGAGACCGGATTTTGTTCTAATTCAAGAATCCAAAATTCAGGAAGTAGACAAGAAGTGGATAAAAAGCATGTGGGGAGAAAGGAATATTAATTGGAGCTTCGCTCCCTCTTGGGGTGCATTGGGGGGCATTATAACAATGTGGAGAGAAGTAGTCCAATGTTTGGAAGAACTGGTAGGCAGATTCTCAGTTTCTATTAAGTTGAAGGGTGTGCAAGACAGATTTGAATGGGTTCTTACGAATGTCTATAGGCCAAACTCATATAAAGAAAGGAAGAAATTGTGGGAGGAGCTTGGGGATATTAGGGGACTCTGGGTGGACCTTGATGTTTAGGGGGAGATTTCAATGTAGTAAGGTTTGTGAGTGAGACAACCGGGGGTAGGCAAAGAATACATTGAGTATGAGAAAGTTCAACTCCTTTATTGAAGCTTTTAAGCTAAGAGATATTCCCCTAGGGCAATCTTGTTATACTTGGTCAAAGCTTCAAACAGCCCCTATCCTATCCAAGCTTGATAGGTTTTTAGTTTTACTTGACTAGGAAGAGCATTGGCCAGGTTTAGTTGGGAGAAATCTACTCTACCAAGAATCACCTCAGACCATTGGCCCATTTGTTTGTTTGAGAGAATCAGTGATGGTGGTCCAACTCCATTCAGATTTGAAATATGTTGCTCACTCACCCGGATTTTAAAGAGTAAGTCAAGGTTTGGTGGAATAGTTTGGCCGCACATGCAATGTGGGAAGGCCGAAAGTTCCTAAAGAAGCTTCAATTGTTGAAAAAAGGAGATTAAGGAGTGGAATAGGGAGAAGTTTGGGAGTAGGGGTGTCAATGGTATTCGAAAATCCGATTTCGAATTCGATATTCGATATAATCGAATCGGACTCGGATAATTCGAATATCTAATCGGTCGAATTCGGATATCCTATTCTTACCAAATAGTTAATCGGATTCGAATTCGGATATGACCTGATTCGATTCGATAAATATCCGTATTTGACCGATTATTTAATTCTTATATATAATATATAAATTATATATAATAATTAAGTTATATAAATAATTTATATACTTTATATCAATAAAATATTTATTTTATATAGTTATTA